TCTTATTCAGGGGGATCATTTCAAATCCCAGGGAAAACGGCAATGAAATTTTGCTGTGAGGCAAGGTAAGATTCTCAGACATGTATCTTAGATAGAGTCACACGTACATAACCCAGGGTGGCCAGCTCTGGATTGGGAAATACCTGGAGATTTGGGGGAATGGAGCCAGGGGAGGGCAGGGTTCGATTTGATTGATTTAATTTGTTATCCCGCCCTCCCGGCCTGATAGTACATAAAACACAATAATTTCCAATAATACAATTCCAATACTACATAAAACACAACCAATCAACATAATATAAATAAAATCAACATAATAAGAAAGTGCTAGCAAAGTTCCAGTTTTCAACATTAACTCAATTGGTCTGCTTCAGTTGTCTTACGGGGGTGGGGGGGACTGGTTTGGGCAGTAGTTAGAGGGACCAGCGGATCCAGGCTCCTCCACCGTAAGATGTCAATTGTTGTTAATAATAGCAACGGTGGTCGTGATGGTGCTGGTGGCAGCGGCTTTGGGGAGGGGAGGGGTATAAGGCCATACAGTCCGTCTTCCAAAGCAGCCATTTTCTCCAGGGGAACTGATCTCTGCCATCTGGAGACCAGTTGTAACTCCAGGAGATCTCCAGTCACCATCTGGATGTTGGCAACCTGAATAACAACAACAAATAACGAAAGAAAGAAAGAAAGAAAGAAAGAAAGAAAGAAAGAAAGAAAGAAAGAAAGAAAGAAAGAAAGAAAAGGGCACCCCTCAAACCAAACTAGTGCACTTAATAAACAGGATTCCTGATGCGCCTTGAAGGCTGCAAAGATTCTGTTCTAGCGTAAGCTTCTGTGGAGCCGAACTCGCTTCCACGTTGCTTCTTGTGAAACAGGCCCCACTCCACGAAAGCGTGCGTAGAAACTTGTTCACCATTAAGGTGCCACAAGAAGACTCCTGTATCGTCTCTCCCCCCCCCCCCCCCCCCCCCCCCACCACCCCCCCCACACCCCTCCTTGCAGCATATTTGAAAAGCATTTTAATGGCTTTTTAAAACAACACATGATACTGAAAAGTAATACAGGTCCAGAACCCCACCCTCAAATACAAAGCAGATGTGTGCCTTTATCATTCGATAGCCAGCAACTGTCAGCCAGCTTGGGAGACCTGGGTTTGAATCCCCACTCTGCCGTGGGAACTTGCTGGGTATCCTTGGTCCACTCTCTCTCTCGGCCTAACCTACTTCGCAAGGTTGTTGTAAGGATGAAATGGGGGGGGAAAGGATGTTGTAAGCTCCCCACTGGGGAGAAAAGTGGCGTCTCCAAATGTCTCAATCCAGAGCTGGCAACCCTAGGGCAGGGTGATGAACCCATTCAGGACCGGGCGGGGATTCAGTCCATTCCTAGTTGCATTTCCATTTGCTAGGCTTTTTCTAAAACCAGAAGAAAATGAGCTATTGGGAACCACAGATATGCAAAGCAGGACACTGAACAAAGATTTGGCCCAGCCTCCCTTCTTTCTTCTAGTGCCTAAAAACAAAACTTGAACATCAAGTTGGCATTTTGGAATGGCTATCTCAGGAACACTTATATAGATATACCGAACTGTATGGGAATCACTTCCTCATCTACCCAACATGTCTGCAGTGTGTATGTGAAATGAATTCTTCAGCCATTGAGTTGGGCTGACTTGGGACACACGCAACTACTTTATACCAAGGCACGGGACTGGTCCATTTAGCTAAGTTTTGGGTACTTTTTCACAGCAATAACCACAGATTTTCTTTTTTAACTGGCAGTGCCATCAGTGTGCAATGTATATGTTCAACCATTCAGCCGCAGTATTGCAGATAAGCATTCTGTTGGAAGCAACGGTAATGGTTGGATAGAACAGACCCCTGCAATTGGCCCTATCTGACTGGCTGGAGTATTCAGATGTACTTCCCAGCAGTGCGGAATAGCCCTGCAAGACTGGGCAGCTCATGCTGTGCTTGGGGTGCATCTGTGAAAAGAAGGCTTTAGTCTCTGGGGTCTGTTTGTCTGTCCGTCTATCCATCCCACGACTCCAATAACAGGTTGGGGAAAACAATTAAACAGCTACATTGGAAAAGTTAAATCTCCAATGCCAGATGACACCAAAGCCTGTAACTACAGTGATGTGGGCACTGAATGGACACCATAAATAGGACCAAAACATATCGCCCATTTACAGCCCCAATTCTGTGCATATTTTACTCAGGGGTAAGTCCTACTGAATTCAACAAAACTAGGGTTACCAGATGTCCTCTTTTTAAAGGACATGTCCTCTTTTTTTTGGTGTCTGTCCTCTTTTGGGTTCTTTTTTTAAAAAAACTGATGAAAATATCCTCTTTTTGGGTTGGAAGGTTAGGCATTCTTAGTTAGTAGCAATTATCACAGCTTAAATAGTAGGGGTATTTAAAATAAGATTTGTCATAGTGATCACTTGTTTGAAGCAGTCAGGAAGGAAATATGTCCTCTTTTTTGCTTTTCAAAACATGGGCCCCGGTCACACGGGCCAGATAACACAGGGGGGAGGCGTGGCTATTTGTGCTGTCACATGTTGACCCACCACGACGCGATCAGATGCGAGGGGGGTGAACTGGGTTTTTTTTCAGTGGCGCGTGCTCCCGGCATGCTTCAACGAGGCAAGAGGAGAGCGCTGGAGCGATCAGACGGAGGAAGTCCATCTGCAGTCCGACGCAAATGCTTGATGGTGGACTTTTGCTGGTACTTTTTAACTCCAGATCTTTGGCCGGACAAGACGGTATGGCGACGGGTGCGTGACGCTTGCCAGATGTGTCCGTTTGATTGCGCCCTTAAAATCTGCCCGGCATTCTTGAGTATCCCGCGGTAAATTCTGCATGTGACCGGGGCCATGGTAACCCTAAACAAAACAAGACTGAAGCCCTTGGTTTGGATCCTATGCAGTGTGAGCACAGTAGTAAATGTCCTGCTTCCTGTCTCCTTCTGAATTCATCTATATGCCTCCTAAATCAGGGGATGCCCAGGGACCTGATGAGGTTGAAACTGGAGAACTGTAGTAGGTGGTTCTGCCATGCTGAAGGGACAATCAGAGTGGCTCCGCCCACTCCCACCAGCAGTCCCCTATTCCCTCCCTTGCACCAGTTGCTCGTGGGCTGCATAAGAGCCCTGGGTGGGCCGGTTCTGGCCCCGGGCCTTATGTTTGACACCCCTGGGCTAGATGATTTGTCCCGTGGCCCCGCCCCCAGCGTGTCCAGCGTGTCCAGCGTGCTCCCATCACTTCTGGGTGACGCACACGTCGGGGAGGAGTTCCCCCCGGGGCCCGATCCGGCAGTGCCGGGGAACGGGCCTCTGGGGCGGGGGTTTCCCTGCCCCCCGGAGGGACTTGGGATCCCTACTGGAAATTGTTGACTGATTTGCTGCATTTATACCCTGCCTTTCTCCCAAGGGGGCCCCAAGTGGCTTGCATTCTTCTCTCCTCTATTGTTTTCTCCCAACAACCCTGTGAGGTAGATTAGGTGGTGGGCATGTGTCTGGTCCAAGCTTCCATGGCAGAGTGGGGATTCGAGCCTGGGTCTCCAGCGAGTATAGAGTCCAAGGCTCTAACCACTGCATCCCTCTGGTTCTGTTGCATCTGGCAAACTGAGATCTGGATCACAAACCTTCTAAGGCAGTCGGAGTGTTAATTTTTGAGGCAGCCCCAGACTCTTTCTTGGCTCTTTGACTGTGACTGTTCCAAGCCCAGCTGGGCTCACTTAGAAGTCTACGATCCCTCTGAATGCAATGCTACTGTTTTGTATGCATGCTGATGATGGTTGTAGTCTAAGTCTGTGATCCTATGTATCCTTTGCAGGAATAAGCCCGGCTGAACGCAGTGGGATTTACTGTGGAGTAAGCATGCAGATCCTCAACCCAAGAGAGCGTGGCTTAAAAAGTCACACACCCTAAATTCACTGTATGCTTTAGCACTGGCACCACAGTACTGAGACTACTTAAAAGCCGCCTTCTAATAGCCCTGTATTCATAAGTCAGATATCACTGAACTGAAGTTTCCAACAAATGCATTCGCGTGCACTTTTTTCAAAAATACTTGAATTGCATAGATTGAAAGAAAGAAAGGCACAGTCCTGCCTGTATCCTTGTTGAGAAAGTGCCCTAATAGACGAATTAGCATCTCTGTAAGGAGATCGCTCTGGGGCTGATATTGATCAGGCCGGGCCTGTGTGTTTGCCTGGGTTTGTTTGGGGGATAATTGAGTGTCAGTCTCTGTCTGTGTCGTCTCGCTGGCGCCTGGGTGCTTTTGCTAATTTTCACTAAACGTCTTCTGCCGGCTACTCCCAGCGCATCTACAGCCCAACCAGCAGCCAGACTTCTTCTGGTCAAACCGTCCGTCTGACTAGGCTTTATTGATCACCCGGGGCGGGGGTGGGGGGAAGAGATACACAAAGCAGAGACGGGCTGGGGAGGAATGCTTCTGTCTCACCTCCCGGAAAGAAATGTGCAGCGGTTCTGAAGTTTTACTCCCCCACACCCGCCGTGTTTTTTGTTTTTTTATTGGCTTGAATGAACTTTCATAATAGCTACCACCACGATAAACCCTCAAGTGATGAGATTGGAGAATCGTCGCTTTCCTGTCCTACCACCTCCACGTGCTCTTGGGTCTTTCTTGCTCTTAACAAGGAAGTTACTGGTGGGATCCGTACGTTCCCCTCCAACAAAAGGTGCCTTTGCAAAGAGGGTGCGGCGCGGCCCGGAGCAGTTAATTGAGCCCCACAGACGGGCATTTATCCCGTTTGCGCGACTTAATTACAGCGCTCCAGCCCGGGAGAAAGTCGGGACGGCAACGCGGCGTGACACATCCTCTCCGCCCTTGTCCGCGGCCAGCTCCTGCTGCTTTGAGTGACACGCCGGCGCCGCCTATGACAGCCAGCCTGGGGGAGAGAAGGGAGGGGCGAGGGGCGGGGCGAGGCGGGCCAGGCGCTGGGGCGGAGGCATTATTTACCGAGCGAGAGCTGGCCGAGGAAGAGAGCGGAGTCGGGCTTCCCCGCCGGTCTGTCATGCGCGCTGGCTTGAAAGCCTCCTCGTAAGCCATCCCCGTGCTCCGCCGCCGAGACTTCCAGGGCCGCCAGATGTGGCTGCAGCTGGGCCAGGGCTCGCCTCCCGTGTAAGCGTGCTTCCTCCAAGCCCCGTCGGCCGAGCCTGGGCGTTCGGGCAGGGACAGCCGCCCAGGGCAGCCTTCCGCTCGCCGTGGTTCTCGCCGGAGTCAATGCGCTGTCCGGCGGCGGCTCTTCTCTGCAGCGTCGCCCGGTGAAAAGCGAGCCCTGGAGGGAAGTCGGCGGAGCGGCCAGGTGGGAGGAGGTCAATGGATCGCCACTCTAGCTGCCTCTTCATCTGGCTGCAACTGGAGCTGTGCGCCATGGCCATCCTGCTGACGAAAGGTGAGCCGGCGCCGGGGGCGTGTATGCGTGTGTGTGTGTGTGGGGCCGCATCCGAGGGCTGTGGCGGGGGCAGGGAGCACCGGCGGCTCCGCTCCTCGGCGGCTGGGCAGCACGGGGACTTTGAGCTGGAGGGAGCCGCCGCGGAGGGCCGGCGGCGTGGGACGGAAGCAGGCGCGGCGGGCGGACGTGGAGGGGCGGTAGAGGGCCGCGGTTTTGACAGGCGCCCCGGGTGGCAACGAGCGAGGTGTGTCCGTGTCCTTCCTTCGGTCCCGTCGAAAGCGAGGGCAGCGGACGCCTCCTCGGAAGCCCGGCTGGCTTTGCTCCCTGTTGGAGCGGCCAAGGGTGCTGCAACCTTCCGCACGCTTCGGCGAGTGCCAGCCCCGTCGGACTCGGCGAGGGAGTCCAGTCGGGGTCAGTTCGGTAGTTGGTCCAGGCGGGTGAGGTGCTGCGCACTCCTCTGCCCGGCGTGCATGCCGTCGACTCGACACCGTGCCAATGGGTTGCGCCCCCTCTTCGATGCGAAGGTCCAGAGGCGGGAATCGGGGAGGCGAAGGGGGGGGAGGGTTTGTTTTGCAGGACCCTGTGTGATCATGGGGTGGGGAGAGAGAGAGAATTGTGCTAACAAAAAAATCCCACTCGGGGAGAAGGTGAAGCGCTGCCGTGTGGCGACTGTCGGGCTGGCCCCCAGGATGGACATGAGACGGGGCGTACTTTGGGGCACACCCCTAAAGAGGCGTGGGGAAGGGACGGGGACCAGGAGCTGAGTGGAAGGCTCGTGGGGCTCCTGAAAGGGCAACGGCGCCTTGGGCTCGGGGCCTGCAGCTGGCAGTGGAGGGGCAGCGTGTGGCGCGTAGAGGGCCTCCCAGGGCCCGGGCGGTGGCTTCCAGGCCGTGCATTTTGCCCAGCCTTTCTTCCGAGTCGGGCTGGGGAGGGGAGGTTACTCTGAAGGCAGGCGGGGCACCCCAGGCCACTGTAAACATCCGTATTGAACCCGAGGGTGTTCCCGAGGAGACACGTGTTGAGGATCGCCACGCGAGGCCGGGTCAGATGGAGGTGAGCAACCGGGGGAAGCTCCTGAAAGCGCGGGGTGGGGGTCGTCGTCGTCGTCTTCCAAGGCGCAGCCCGGCGTGTGGCTCTCGGCCTCCCTCGGCCTTGGACGTGGCGGGTTAAAGTGGTGGCGGAGCTGCGTCGCCGCCGGGCCTTGGGGGTCGAGACTCCCTCCCTGTGCGGCCATTTCCTCTGCAAGGAGGAAGTTGGGCACTCCCCCCTCCTTCCCTCCCTCCCTCCGCTGCCCGCGCCGGGGATTTTCCTCCTCCTCTCCCTGGCTGGCGAGGGCGGCTCGTTGCGCCGGGCCGGGCGCTGCCTTTGAAGCGGCGTGCCAAGGCTTTGTGAGCGTGTCGGGTTTCCTCCTGGGCCGAGCCTCGCAGGCCAGAACAAGCTCGCCTGTTCTTGGAAGTGGCGCTGCTTGGGCTCCTTTCCCCGCGCGGCGCTCCCCGCCCCCTGCGTCGCCGGCCCGGCCCAGCGGCCCTGCTGCAGGACGGACGGGAGGGAGGGAGGGAAGTCAGGCCGGAGGGGGCACGCGGTTGTCAAAATGTTTTTGTTAGGCTCTCGTGAATGAACTCCTGAAGGCTTCCAGCCGGGGCCCTCTCTCGCCCGCCCCTCCCCTCGAAGCCGCCCGACGAGCGAGGGAGGGCGGTTGCTGAGGCTGAGCTGGGGAAGAGGCGCTGGGTTCCCCCTAGGGCACCTCGGCGCCCTCCTCCTTCGGTACTGGGCTGCTGAGGGAGCCGCGAGGGCGAATTAATCACGCCTCAGCGCATTTCCAGCCATTGCTTTCGCTTGGTAGCGACGGACCTTCTTGGGATCCCTTGAACACAACTTTGTTGGTCTTCAAGGTGCCGCTGGACTCGAACTTTGTTCTTCTTGAGGCTGTGATCCGAAAATGGCCCGCCTCACAGGGTGGTTGTGAAAGGCACAGCCCTAGCCTTTGCATGTGTAATTGTTTCTGCCTAGGAACTGTCAGTGCCTCTTACAACAACTTTGTGAGGTGGGTAACTTTTCCCCAGACAGGTTTATTGATTTTGTACATTGCTATCACAGGAGCTTAGAGCCCGGCAGTACATCTTTCTCCCTGCCTCCCTTTTATCCTTGCAACCAATCTTTCCTCTAAGATGAGTTAGTGTGAGCTAGCTCACAGCTTTTTACCCTCCGGCTCACACGTTTTTGTTTTAGCTCAGGAAGGATGGCTCCAGAGCAAATGAATATATGCAGTAGCCAAATCACCTGCTCACAACTTCAATGCCAGTAGTTCACGAAGTAGAATTTTTGCTCACAGGGCTACTCCACAGCTTAGAGAAAGCATTGCTTGCAACATCCCTGTGAGGTAGTTCTGCTGAGAGGGGGCATGACTGGATCAAGGTCACCCAGTGAGCTTCCTGGCTAACTAGTCTGATACCCTCAACACCACACCAAACTAGTGCTGTTGCAGAATTTCAAGAACTTCTGGGGGGAGGTAGTTAATACTCATACACAGTTCAATCCTAAGCACAGTTGCACTGCAAAATTCTGTTCAGGATTGCTCTCATCACTGGGTTGGCTCATTATTTTTTTTGCCATTGAAAAATGCAAACAACTTAAAAAAAAAGTGGGCAGAGGAAAGTCAATCTCTCTCTCTGTAATTGCCACATTTTGTGGAGAGGAGGTTAAAGGATAAGCTAGCACTGCTGATGTGCTCCAGTATTTATTTATTTTGGAAGGAAGGGTGTAATTAACCCCAAATAACAGCCCTTGAAGCAAGCAGAGGGGAGTCTTCGGGCCCCATCAAAGCTGGGCAGAAAAAACGAGTGACAGAGAATAATGTGCAGTTGCAGATACTGAAACTATGCGCCTGATAATGATATAATTAGGGGATCATAGACTTCTGGCTGCTGTCGACTTCAAAAGCTTTAAGAGAAGCCTGCAGTCTCTCCTGTAGTCACCTTGACTAAAAGCAGACTTTTCTTTCTTTCTTTCTTTTTTTTAAACAGCTACATACAGTAACAACAAAGAGGAGGGGAACAGAAAGGGCATTGTTCACTGTTTGAAAATACCAAATACCCTCTTTGGCCTTTTGCATAGCTCAGGAAGAAACTTTATGAATTGATAGAAATAAAACTTGTACTTAAAAACATAGTACAAGAACTCCATTCTGTTCCTCTAGAGGGGGGGGGGAAAGAAAAATGTGGCTCTAATTAAAATGGAGTTGTAATAACCCGATGACTAGCTTGTCATGTTTTGTTTATAAGACTGTCTTGGGTCAGGAAAAGATAGAATTTTAAACAGAGGCCTATAAACTATTAAAACAAAAACAGAGCTTCAGTATTTCTGTTTCCTCTGCTTGTTGCTATGTAAGGCCCGGGGGGGGGGGGAGAAGGAAGGAATACTAGCTTGTGCAGCTTCTTTTGGTGTCTTTTTGTTTGTTTGTAATCTGTCCATACCTTTATTGTATGAGCATAAGGTGTTCAGATGTTTGAATCAGCTTGTTAGGCCAGTGTTTGCTGTGAAAGGGTATTGGGAACCCCTGTGATGTGGATCAGGGAATGACATATTTCGAGGGAAGAGAAGTGTTTTTTAAAAAAATGAATGGTTTGGATTTTCTTGATACCAAATCCTGAAGAAGACACTTAGTTCAACCTATTCCATGTCTCATTCTGGATGCCTAACTTGTCAGCATGACCTTTTAACAAAAACCTTGAAAAATTACTCTGGTGGAAAACCTCAAGGGACTGGAAAGCTTGCAAACTTTATGAGCAACCGGCTGTAAATGAAATGGCAGGTTTTTATTATTTAGTGAAGTATTTCAGGGACAGAGTGCATGGAATGCTTCCTGTCAAACTAACTAGTTCTTTCGGTGCTTACTAAGCTTTTGAACTTCATGAATTCTTCATGGCTTTCAGCTCTTGCTCCATGAGTCAGTCAGGGAGTCTCCCTCCCTCCCCTCACAAAGTACAGGGCACTGACTGCATCATTTGGCTTTGATTAAGCAGTTTATTAAAAGAGCAGCAGAAGTTTTACAGTGCAGAAACCCCAACAGCATCATACTGAAACATGAATTTAAGACCATTCTAGAAAGGGTGAGCCCCATGTCCCTTAGGGTTTTTTGTTTGTTTTTGCAGTCCACATCCTAAGCAGAGGTTGAAAGATCATCTTGTATGTGACACAATATAGCCTAGATGGTAATATGCCATAAAAACATCTCTAGGTACCTAATTAATGCCTAGGTCTAAGAACTGTTGATTTACCATGGGGGTATGTTGCTGAGAGCTTGTTCTTCAAGCAAGGACGACAAATACCTTGAGGCTGAAATTCTGTTGGGGGGGGGCGCACAGGGAACTAAAGGCTCCCCAGTACTGTGGTTAAAAGTACACTAACCTGCGATAAAAGTTTCTGGAAGTTGAGAAGAATCCAGTCTCTTTGGTGCTCTGAACAGATTCAGCAGATTCAAGCTGAAGCAACTAGAAAAGTAAAAGGAATACATTCGAGAGTGCAGATTTTTTATGGAGCACTTTTTAAAGCACTTCCTTCAGAAATTTTTGAGGTTTCCTGTGCGTTTTTATTTCATACAAACAGTAGAGGATTTTCAGTCTAAACGTTTACCCTTCTTGACCACATGATGGATTGCGTAGAGTGGGGGCAGGGGGGGAGGAGGAGGTTTCAGTGTAGCTGTGGCCCCTCCCTTCTTGATGAACTTTCATTTAGGTTGAAAGAGGTTGATTTTGGCAAGAAGCCCCCCCCCCCAGTTGTAAACTACACAGTTCTTGTTTCATAATGAAGACTAGAAGACCTTTTGCATGGGAAGTTCCTTTTTGCAAAGAAGTGGTGGTCAAACCAGATGCTAGGAGGAAAAGAAGAACGTGTCTTCAGTGTGAGGGTTCCAGCAATATCAGTGTGTGGTTACTGCTGGAGTCAGGATGCTAGACAAAATGGATCCCAAAAGGAAGTGCTTAGAGAGAACACATTCCTGACTTACAAAAAAATAGAACATGATTTTAGTCCGTCATTTCATAAGGTGTTGGCTAAAGCTCTTAAATATTGGCACCGAACCCAAAGGTAGTAAACAACTCTACCATTCTGGTTAAATATTTATGCATGGCAGAATTAAAGCGAGTCTGACTTTTTTTTTTTAAAATGCAGGGTTGTTTTATGGAGGTATTTTATGGAGGCAGTGTAATGTGACGTTAGCATGTTTTGGGGGGAATGCCATAAATATCTGTTATGTTAAACAGCAGATTTGCAGAAATGGTCAATGGAGTAACTGCAGTCTGAAAACCAGAAATGAGTTAGTATGCAGTGGTGACTCGCTTCACTGCCAGGGAAGTGCAAAGGATTTATGATGCTACCCACTGTCATGTAGAAGTGTTGTTTGGTGAGATGATATTATGGTCGCTGCTGGCTACTTTTGCCATGGGAAAACCCCCTGTATTCTGTGCACAACCCTGTAACCATGCAAGGAATACAGAGTTGCTGCTGGCCCGCTGATTTATGTGCGGGGTGGCTGGTTGAGGGGCTTTGCTCCGACCCACCAGAAAAGGTCACCAAAAACAGTAGCAGCTTCTCCATGCATTGGCCTTTATGTAGTTTGTTTACTGTTTGATCCATAATGTTTAGACTTTAGAACACCTCATTAAGCTGTCCTTTACTGAATCAGAGTATCGGTCCATCAAGGTCAGTACTGTTTACTCAGCCTGGCAGTAGCTCTTCATGGTCTCAGGCAGAGGTTTTTCACACCACCTACTGCCTGGTCCTTTTTCCCTGGAGATTCCGGGGATTGAACCTGGGACCTTCTGCATGCAAAGCAGAGGCTCTTCCATTGAGCCGCAGCCCCTCCCCACAACCTTGCATTTGTTGTATTACCTTTGCATCCTGTACTTCCTTCAAGTGTGCCTCAGAGGAGGTTTTGGAGACCGTATAATTTTAAGGAGCTTGGAGGATGGCAAGGAACCTTTTGCCAGCACCACATTCTTGGTTGCATTTGGCCTTGTAAGTCTTCATGTGATGCAGAGGGTTCCTGGTGTTGCTGCTGCAGCATTGATGACTCCTGGGGGTACCTCTAGGCAGCCTGATGTAGTGGCTACAGTGTTTGACTAGGATCTGGGAGAACTGAGTTTTAATATTTGCTTTGTCATTATATCTTGGTGGTCATCCTTGGGCCAGTCCCACTCTCTCTCCTCCCCCCCTTCCCCTTCCCCTCTCCCTAACCTATCTCACAATGTAGTTACCAAGATAAAGCGTATGAGGGGGGACAGATGCTTGTAAACGGCTTTGGGTCCCCATTGGAGAAAACAGTGAGATCACTATCTGAGTTCTTGAGTTGCGCTGCTTAGAAGCTAGGGGTTGAGAACACAGGGGAGGCTAACTTTCCTTTCTTGTTGCAGGTGAAATTCGATGCTACTGTGATGCCGCACACTGTGTTGCAACAGGCTATATGTGCAAATCTGAGCTCAACGCTTGCTTCTCTAGACTGCTTGATCCACAGAACAACCATTCTCCACTTACGCACGGCTGCTTGGACTCTCTTGCCAGCAAGCCAGACATCTGTCAGGCCAACCAGGCACAAAACCACTCTGGCACCACCATACCCACGTTGGAGTGCTGTCATGAAGACATGTGCAATTACAGAGGGCTTTATGATGTTTTATCTCCTTCCAGAGGAGAACCTTTGGGTAAGGAGAGCCTTTTTTTCCTGATGTAGCCAAGCTTGCTTGCTGTGAGCAAGGCCTCATATGTCTGCAAGTGATATTCAGTCGTAAATGTAACAGGGCTCATTGGAGAGAGGGAAGCCTGTGGTTTGCCTTATTTCTCTGTCTAAGTAGCATTTTTGTCTACGTTAGTCTGAGACACACAACTGTTCCCTCTGCCCTTTTTCACAGGCCTGGCATCTTGCCAAAGAAAACTAGTTCATGTGGCAGTGCAAGTTTAAAAAGTTGATGTAACTAATCTTGATCCAGGGGAAATACTGACGGTTTGAGCTTTAATGAAAGAAAACACAAACCTCAGTTTAAAGTGATGCTGTTTATTACATTGTCTATGCCAAGGTGTAACTGTTAAAAGAGGAGAATCCCAAGAAGACTCTGCTATTGCATAGTGTGGATGCCTAATGTGTGCCAGAAATTTACCTGCCTTGAAACTTGGCGCTGCAATTCCTCTGATGCCCTGGGGCAGGTTACTGGAGAGGCAGCTTGCTTCCCCCCCCCCCCCAAAAAATCTGCTCAGGGGCCCTCCATTTAATTGAATGAATGGAATAGACCTGTTATCTATAATATCAGAGTCAGAGTTAATATTTTGTTGTATGGCAGAAGTGGCTTCTGTTAGTGATCAGCAAGATGATTCTGTTTGTTTTGGAAGGGGCATTTTTTATGCCTTGTGTTCCTATAGATACTAAATATTAAAGCAACAGTAGAGCTCTGCAGTACTGTAATTTGTATTGCCTGGCACTTGAGTTCATGTGCGTGTGTCATTTTGTTTTCAGTAAGCCTCTCAAAATGCAAAGCAAAATAGATGCATGCATGATTATGCATGTATGATTATTAGACCCACCACAGTTTTAAATTTAGTGCTAAACTAGTTGCCAAATCTACCACTTTTCCTTACCAGGACACCTAATAAGTCATATGGTTAAGTCATGTAGAGAAATTACTTTAATGACAAAGTATTTTAAAAGTGCCCTATAAGCTGAGAAAACATAAACAATTAGGAAACTAGCCTGGAAACTGTTACTTTAAGGTGTCAGTGGTCTTTTTTTTAATTGGAGAACAGTTTGTGTGTGTATTGTAGAACAAAGATTGAATCTAGTGGCACCTTTAAGACCAACAAAGATTTATTCAAGGTTTAAGCTTTCATGTGCATGCACACTTCATCAGATACACAGTGCATGCACATGAAAGCTTAAACCTCGAATAAATCTTTGTTGGTCTTAAAGGTGCTCCTGGACTCAAACTATGTTCTGCTGCTTCAGACCAACACGGCTACCCAACTGAAACTGTTTTTATTATGTGTGTTGTTATGTTAGATTGAGTTTTTAATGCTGAGTTGTAATTATCTTTTAAAAGTTTTTAATTATTTTATAAGCCACATCAGGCACGTTCCTGGAGAGGTGGCATAACATTTTTCTAAGTAACCCATTAGGAAAACTGTGTGCTGCTTTTAGTGTTACGGGCCAATGCAGAACACACGTGAGGCTTAATAGTCGCTTAAGACTGACTCTTCTTCATCTGGCCCTACAAGTTTCTAGGTGGGGCTGTGTGATGCTGAACCTTACAATTTTTCCTAATTTTTTGTAGGACAAGGAAGCAAATACCAGCATGATAACAGCAGAAACCTCATCACGAAGGTTCAGGAGCTGACCTCCTCCAAAGAACTGTGGTTCAGGGCAGCCGTCATCGCCGTCCCCATAGCTGGCGGACTCATCCTGGTGCTCCTCATCATGCTGGCTCTGCGGATGCTCAGGAGCGAAAACAAACGGCTGCAAGACCAGCGGCAGCAAATGCTCTCCCGTTTGCACTACAGCTTTCATGGGCATCCTTCCAAAAAAGGACAAATGGCAAAACTAGACTTGGAATGCATGGTGCCCGTAACGGGGCACGAGAACTGCTGCATGACATGCGATAAAATGAGACAGACGGACCTCAGCAATGACAAAATACTTTCGCTCGTCCACTGGGGGATGTATGGCGGGCATGGAAAGCTGGAGTTTGTGTGATCCCTTCCTCGGCTTTTATCCCACCCACCCCTCTCTCTATATATCTATTTTTAAATTTTTGGTTTTAAAATTACTAGGAAAACTTTTCAAAGGCCTTTGGGTTCTGCTGGACAGGAGCACTTTATATGGGGAAAAGCCTACACTCATTAATCATTTTTTTAAAAAGAAACTAAGGGACCTATGCAGAGAGAACCTTGGATACATCTTCTGAAGGATTCCAAAAGTTGATCTTATTTGCACAGAGTAAATACACTCAAAATGTGTTGTTTGCTTTTAAAATTATGAAAGCAAAAAACGAGAAGTTATACACACTGTTAAACCAGGGTTGTCTGAGCTGTAGGGAGATGGGAACTGAGTTATACTATTAAACTGTATGCAAGTTCTGATGTAAAGATTTTTTTAAAAAATATATTTTGTCTGAAACCGATTTCTGGGCTTGTGTGTGTGTGAAACACTGACTTGCTTTTACTTTCTTTTAGTGTGTACTGCGTCATGGGAATTTAACTATTCACCTAAGTAAACACATGCTAGCCCGATCTTGGAAGCTAAGCAGTGCTGGCCTTGGTTAGTATTTGGATGGGAGACCACCAAGGAGGGCCAGGGTTGCTGGGCAGAGGCAGGCAACGGCAAGCCACCTCTGTTAGTCTTTTGCCTCGAAAACTCTGTGGGGTTGCCGTAAGTCGGCTGCTGTGACTTGATAGCACTTTCCACTACCAACCACACATACAGAGTGTTTTTCCTTTCCTCTATTAGAGTCTCACTGCTTAAACTGTGCAAATAGTTTCCTTCTGTCCCAGATGGTCTCTGTTCCTGCAACGGCTGGCAACTGCTTCATTTTGTCATCAAATGCTAATGTATAACTTGGGTTGGTTCAATAAATCCTTAGCTAGGCAACGTAGAGGACAACAGGGATGGCATACTTCTGTATTCTTGGATATGCAAAACGTATGGAGTCTTGTTACTACATTTTCCTTACCAGTATAACTGAAGATCAAAACCGTTTCATCCCAAACTTGCAGGACCCTGAATCCAAAATATAGCTGCTTCAGGGAGTAGGGTCTGGCTCGTAGTCCACCAGGCATAATTGGGAAGGAGGCTAGTCTGAGCTCTTCTCCTTGAGCCACTAGTTTTCCACCGGCAGTCTTTTCTTTTCATTGGAAAGTACTAAAACACAGAGAGGGAAGGTGGCATGGTGTATATAGCCTGGAAGCTGAGCAGCATCGGTACTTGGAGGATGAGGGACCACCAAAGAAGACTGCAGAGGAAGGCAATGGCAAACCACCTCTGCTTCTACCTTGAAGGAGAATGACATTTTTCGCTCAATGCAATATAGTCCAGTGGCTTGTTTCCACTGAATATAATTTGACCCTTAATCTTGTTTTTCCCTTACCCTTCTGTTGCCCAGTGATTCAAAACAAGATAGATCTGTGCTGTAATCAGTATAGCACCCCTCCCTATTTCCCTTAAGGTTATAGCAGTAGAAATGAAAACAATCCTATTCTTCCCGGAGAGTTTAAAGGGGCAGATTATAAAAACAGCTGAGGAAGCTTTTAAAACTACAGTTAGCTGTGTAGGTAAAAGTTTATGGCCCTGAATGGCGGGGTTGGAGCTGCATGCAAAATGTGGATAACCGCAAAGTCTGCTTCACATACTCCAGTACGTGTTAAAGATTTCTGCCTCCTGGTGTGGCTGTGGTCCCGAGCCTGAGTGAAATGAATTGGGCAGTTGAAACCAATGGGACTGAAGGGTGGTTGATCTTCTGTGGATTGGGGCCCATGTGGTTCTTAGGTTCAGAAAGTACTGTAAAATTGTGACTACTCCTTTTTCTGCAACGAACACAGAATGGAGTTGTCAAATGCATTCGTGGAAGTAGAAGTGTGTACGCACCCAATACTGTAAATCATCAAGACATGTGCAGCAAAATAATGCAATTTGGTTTTTAATCACTTACCAGATTCTGTAGATATGCAGGAAGTGGTTTTAGGCATGGCGTTACCCCCAGGTGGGTGCACTGTACACTCGGAAAGATAGGCAGAGATCAGTGTGAACCTCTCTGCCTGTGGTTTGTAAAGTACACTGCTACCTTGAGAGGCTGTTTAGGTGCTAGAGCTGTTGAGAAGGAGTACGCAGTCTTGGAACGGGTTTTAATTATCGAAAATCCCAGATGAGGATAAAAGTTAACTACCTAATACCATGACTGTTGAGAATGGCCAGAAGGGAAAGAAAAAAAAAAAGAGTGGAGGAAGATGTTTGCTTTGCCAGTTGAACTGTCTTGCTGGGGATATTTCCCCCCCTTCCTGTTCAGGTACCCCAAACATTTGGACATGGCCAGAGGTGAAAGCTCTTGGGCATGAGCCGAAGGGTTCTTGAAGCTCTGGCTCTTAACCCAAGGCCCAGGCCTTCAGAGGAGCTGGTATATAACTCCAGAACCACCTCAAGATATGGTACTGTTCTGTTATTTCTTTATTTGCATATAGTATTTTCTTTCTTTTTTCAGGGGGGTAAGGTGCTTTGGATCCCTGCAGGGAGAGAGGCAGGGCACAAATGCATAAATAAATGGTGTGTTGAAAATAAGGGAAATCGCAGAAGTAGGGTGTTGCTGCAGTCTCTTCTTAGGTCAGCAGTACATTCCACCTTAGAAGCGAGCAATTGCTGGCTACATGTTTCAGCGATCTTATTCTGAATGGCAGAGAGAGGATGGAAGGAAATCCCCTAAATTGGGTGGAAAAAAACCTGCCCTAGTATCAAATACAGCTTTAGTTTTCTTTGTGTCCCTTCCTGGTTTCCCCCTCTGAATTTATTGGTTTTTTTAAAAAAAGCAAGAAAGGGCTGTGGGGTTTCCTTCTGCCTCTTCTGATTCCAGTCTTCCCAGCATTTCTAGGCCTCTTCTTGACTCCTGCTTAACTGATTCTATTAAAAAGCCCTTACACCACAGGGGGGTTTGACCTCCTCCCGAAATACTGAATGCGTCTGCTTTGGTAATCACAAAGGGCCCCTCCTTGAAAGGGCCTGTAAATCTGGTTTCAATATTGGGTGATTACAGGCTGAGTGGGGAAGCTTGAAAGGAACCAGCCCCTTCTGGTAGCTGGAGCACTGGGCAGACTTATCTGGGTGGCAAATCTGGGGCTCGCTGGCAGTCTGACTTACTCCAGTGTTTACAGCTGCCAAAGCCAATAAATTCAGTCCAGATTAGCTTGCATGTAAGTGAGATCAGAATCCAGCCCAAGAGGTTCAGCAGTGAAGGCTTTGCTTTCTTTTGCTTCAGGGCAAAGAGCAACAGAGAACCCCCCCCCCACACTTTCCTGTGTGTACAAGAGGTTTTTGGAAAACAAACCTTTTGTTCACCTAAACCAAGCAGCAGTTCCATTATGGTACTTGTGGCTGATGGGCAGTAGATTCAGGATAGACAAAAGACCTTGTGTGCAGCTGTCTTCTGGAACTCACTGCCACAGTATGTAACAATGACTGACAGTTTAGCTTCAGGAAGGTTAGGACCATCCATGCATACGCAATCATTGGGGTCCATGTGAGGGAGAGGCAGGGTTGACACAGGGGTCCCTGTTGTGTGGTTGGCCACTGCAACAAACAAGATGGTGGATTTGATAGATCATTAATCTGTTTCTGTAAGGCTCTTCTTATATTATTAGGTTTGCTTATTCTGTAGTAGGATCAGCTGGGACTTCGGCAGGAATGGCTTGCTTTCTACGGTTTGTCTCTTGCCATAAGTGCTTTGAGCTACAGACTGGAATGAAATGGCTCCTCCCCCACTCATCTTATTGGTTCATTGTCACCTGTCAGGGGCAGTCTTAGTGATTCTGACTCTGAAACCCTGGGCAAAAGTCCAGGATACATACATAAAAAACACATCTAACAAACACACTTAAAACTAAAATGCTCATGCAGTACAATAACATAACAACATCAATACACATATGTTAGAGCAAAACACAACATAGAGGAGGAAAGAGGGTCACTGAAGGAACTCCAGATGAAATGAAAAAGTCTTCACTTGGTGGTGAAAGACGGCAAGATAAGAGGACAGGTCAGTCTTTCTGGGGAGAAAGTTCCAGAGTTTTGGTGCCATAACCAAGAAGGCCATCTTGCCATCTGCCTGATCCCAGAAAGTGAGGGCACCCAAGCAGGGCCTCGGAAGATGACCATAGTGCTCTGGTAGGTTGTAAGGGAGTAGGAGTCCTGCAAGTATACTAGTTCCAAGCCATATAGGGCTTTAAAGGTCAACACCAGCACCTTGAATGGTCTTTGGAAGCAGATTGGGAGCCAGTGTAGGTGGAACAAGACTGGAGTGATATGGTCCATACAACCCACTCCAATCAACAGCCTGGCTGCAGCATTCTGCACCAACTGAAGTTTCCGAACACTTGTCGCATGTTTCAGTGTTAGACCTTAGCTCTGAAAACATGATTGGTGGGTCATAACAAAACTGGATCTCCTGTCTGTTCACCTACTATCACTTGATGGAAAAGGTTTCAGTTACTTGGGCCAACTTTCCCCAGAACGGACTCCTGGTTTAGGTGGGCCTTGGGTGTCTGTAGGCCCATTGTTGCCCTGCTGCTCTTTGAACACCATCCATTTGCTCTTCTCCATCCTTTACACAGTTTTTTTCTAAGATGTAAAACTACTAGCATATGTTTTCATATATATGTTCACTCATACAGAGAGAGAGAAAGAAAGGGAAGAGGCTTAAGAGCATTCCAGTTCTTGCCCCCATCCTGAGCCTACTGCCACCATTCCTCCTTATTGTTCCCCAGAGCCCCCACCCCTGGCACCACTGAACCCACTGAAGACCTGCAGCCTGCAAGTGGCAGGCTGGGCATTTGAGCAGTGATGGGGGTATGATGCTGGTGGGCAGCGTTACAGCTGCTGCAGTGCTGGCCTAGCTCAGGTTCCCTTTTCTCCCTAGCACTGCCACGTGCATCAGAAATCTTTGAACCACCAGCAGGTGGTCAGGAGTCCAAGCACAAGAAGTGTAAAGCATCTGAAAAGGTGGAAGCGAGTGGCAGCTACTCTCTCCATTGGAAAATGCCGCCGCCATGCTGTTGCATTGCTGTTGCATTGTGGCTCTTGCTATGCTGGTTGCTGGAGCAGCGCAGCATCAAGCGTCAGCCAGCAAAACTCCATGTTCTACTTAGGTTCACAGCATCCTATACGTCTGCCTGAACAGGTGGGCAAGCTGAACCGAACAGAACAAAATTTGAGTCAAGTGGCACCTTTGAGACCAACAAAGTTTTATTCAAAGTGTAAGCTTTCATGTGCAGAACACACTTTTTCAGACAGAATTGGAATAAAATCTCTTCAAGAGTTACTTACGGCAAAAAAGAGGGTGGAGGGCAGCCGTTAGGAGAGGCGACACAGAGCCCAGATGCATAGGCAGAGTTGAAATTGGAATGGGTGGCCAGTTTT